ATGTACATATATATAATATATATAAATATATGAAATATTGATGCGGGTACTCTAATGAAAGGTCTCGATGAGTGTAATGTCGGGCTGAGCTTATATCTTTAAAAATGTCAATAATTAAGAAATGACCTTGTATCTTGTGAAATATTGACATTTTTAAAGATATAAACTCATCCCGACAACATACTCATCAAGACCTTTCATTTGAGTACCCACATCAATTTTTCATATATTTATATATATGTGTATATACATGTATATATGAAAAATATATAAAAAATGCATGTGGGTACTCAAATGAAAGATCTCGATGAGTGTAACATCGAGATGAGCTTATATCTTTAAAAATGTCAATATTTAAGAAAATAGAGGGCGATTTAACAAAAGTCATTATTTAATAAAGCAAAATTTTACTTATTTATAGTTCACAAGTCACAGCAGTCACGTAGTGACTGCAAGGTTGCTGGTTATATTTAATATATATTATAAATATTCATCATGCATAGTTGTGTTCGGCATTGAATATTTAAAAAAATAAAAAATAAAGAACAAAGACTTACTTTTGTATCGTCGGGCTCTGAGCAACAGTAAGACTCAAAAATGCATGCTCGTGATAAGCATCAAGAAGGGGTTGCCGAGAATCAGAGTCGAAAATAGTGAAGTATTGAAACATAAATTGCTCCGCTACTTTCAAAGCTTCACCATTCTTTGCAAATGCTTTTTGCGTGGGAGGTAATTGGATACCTTCTTCTGCGACATCAAATACTATTGGTTTAGGTAATTCCATGCCATCCTAGAATTGTTGATTGAAAAAAAAAAAAAAATTGTAAAAATATTAATATTAACGTTATTTAAAAAATAATTTAATATAATTATTTTCTGTGAAAATGATTACTTACCAGTCGGAGAAGTTTGGGGAATTTTTTCCTTACGTCGCTGTCGTGGAAGAAAAAGCCATAAGCGGATGCTCCAGATTAATTGTATTAAAAACAAAAATAACATATCTTATTATTGAAGGAGATTTAACAGATTTTTTTTAATTCAAAAATTTTTATATAATTCCAGTGTTGGATAAAAAAAAAATAAAAAAAAAAAATGTTAACCAATCTCCTGTAAGAAGATCCGTGTAGGATCTTTGAAATTTATATATAATGTAAGAAAATGAATGACATACCTGATATAGTCATCTGTGCGTTTTTTGTACTTGTGTTGTACAAGAGGGTTACCGGCAAGACGTAATTCTTCGAGTGGTAAATCTTTGATAACATCCATCTGATGCATTTCTCTGATCTAGAAATAAATAAAGGGAAAAAAAATTAATAAAATTCATTAATTAAAATTAAGCAAAAAATGTTAAAAAAAAATTAATCATGATTGATAAAAAAAAACTTACTTTGTTGTCACCAATGTATAAGATTTTTAAATGCCTTAGTTTTTTTCCCAAAAAACTAAGCTTTTCAATAATAGATAATTTATTATTTTCAAGATTCAATGCCTCCAGGTTAGGAATTGCATCAGCGACAATCTCCAGTACTGACATCAACATTCCAGGTCTGAATAAAGCGCAGAAGTAATCTTGAACGAGATCAGGATCGTGGTGAAAGCACGAAAGGTCCAGAGCATTATTTTGCTGATTGTATCTCTTGGCCATAGCTGCTTTCAATTTCTCTTTTAGCACAGCGTCAGCTTCACATTTTGGAAAACCAGGACGTACGCGTACTTGGAGCTTGTGATTATCAGGCGTTGTAATTTTTTTGTGACACTCAGCTAGTTTGTTAGCAGTTTCCTGGCTGTCAACGTAAAAAATAGCTTCTTGTCCAATCACTTTATACTGAAATCACAAATAAATTTTTTTTTTATTATAGTTACAACAATATTAAAATCGGAAAAAATTATTAAAATTTATAAAAATATTGAATGACAATAAAGTTAGACATTTAAAAATTTTTAGAATTTTTTTTTTGAAAAAATTATAAAATAATTTTTTATTCAATTTGTAAAAAATTTGAAAAACTGTAAGTGCAATTACAAAAAATTTTTTTTTAGTTTCAAGTTAATAAATTAAACAAAATCAAAAAATAAAAAATGTTGACTAACTTTATTATTGTAAATATATGACAATAAAGTTACCCAACATTGAAAAATTATTAGAATTTTTTTTATTGAAAAAATCATTGCAAAAAAATTTGAAAAACTCTAAGTGCAATTAAAAAAAATTTTTTTTTAGTTTCAATTTAATAAATTAAACAAAATCAAAAAATTTCGGCCAACTTTATTATTATAAATATATGACAATAAAGTTAGCTGACATTTAAAAATTATTAGAATTTTTTTTATTGAAAAAATCATTACAAAAAAATTTTATTAGTAAAAAATTTGAAAAACTGTAAGTGCAGTTTAAAAAAAATTTTTTTCAATTCTAATTTAATAAAGTAAACAAAAAATAAAAAATATCGGCTAACTTTATTATTATAAATATTGATTACTTACCATTATTGGTATGAACGTATGAGGAGCCATGTAGCTGAGTAGGCTGGTCAGAATATATTCTTTATCATATTTATCACCATAATAAATCTGAAACAAATTAATAAATCATTAATAAATCACCTGGAAGCTTAAAATAAATAAAATAACGCAAAAAAAAAAAAAAAAAAAAAAAAAAAATACCAACCATTATTTTATACCACTGTGCTTCGCCATTAAGATTAACTCTACTTTTAATATTTAATCTTGGGCCTCGATTCACCATGGGACTGAGCCGCCCACCTTTGCCTCTACTCCTCGGCTTGAACATAACTTGCCTAACACTTGTACTCGAGGACATAGCTTCTGCTATTTGATCTTTGGTAACTGAATTAACATGACGCACACGATCTCTTCCAAATCTTGGATTTTTGAAGGATACCCGGGGCTTGACACCGCCGAATTCCATCGGATGGTCGTCGTCCATGCGAGCTGTTCTATCGTCATGGTCTGTAAAAAAAAGAGATGACGAAATAAGCCTTGTAGCAAAGTAACAATTTTTTTTTGACTAAAAAACTAATTAAAAATTAAATACTTACTGAAAAAATGTTTGTTTTGTTTGTTGAAACGATTATTGATCGGCTTTCTCGGCATTTTTGATAATTATGTCTAGAAAACTAAAAAAAATACGTGATTTGAATAACTTTTATAAATTTAAGACGCAAGACTATATTTTATCACAACACAATGGCTGACTTGAAAGTATAATAATTTTTTACTAACCTCGAAATATTAATTTACTATATAACTTTGATGTATAATACTACAACTAATTATTTTTAGTAATAATTGCGTTGATTATAATTTTTTTTATCACTATCTTGACAATGTCAAAAAAAATTGCAAAGTTTTATAATAAGATTATTTATTATCTTGTAAAAATGTTTTACTGATACGACTTGGATTTATTTCACAGTCGACAATATGGCCGTCTGAACTATGTGAACTACACCAAGCACTTTGCACGAACGTTGAGGCGAAAAGATCCAAAGAGACTTGCTTGCCCCCTCTACGGCAACTAGATTTTAAACAGCGCCCCCTATAAGTGTATAGTTTCACTCTAATAAATAATCTACAGTCGATGAAAATGAAGTTAGCCGATATAACAACTAAAGTTAGCCGACGTTTTTAATTTTTTTTCAATAATTAAATAAGAACAAAAAAATATTTTTTAAAAATTGCACTTACAGTTATCAAAATTTTTTAATAATTATTTTAATAAAAAAAAATTCTGAAAATATTTAGATTTTCATTTGTAAAAAACTTAAAAAAATTAATAAGTGCAATTTTTTATAAATATCTTTTTAGTTGTAATTTAATTAATAAAAAAAATCAAAAATTTTTAGACGTTTGCTAACTTCCGTGTCATCTACAGTCGTAAACTTACTGGCTAAAGAAAACGACGGCAGCGCTACTGCGCAGTTGTCTTTCGGGAACTATATTACTGATCAGAGTTCTCAGGAATTACTTGTATACCGGTCGTGCTCCGAATACGTAAAAATAAAATGAAAATATATATAAAATTAAATAAATAATGATTATGACATTAAACTCAGCTGCTATTTAACAAATTTTTTATTTTATTTAATAATAAAATTTGTTCTAAAAAATTGTTATTAAAAAATTGCATTTTTATTTTTTTTTAAATTTCTACATGTCAATTTTTATGAAAATTAATGTAGCACATATTTAATCATTTTAAAAATTTTATAACAAATAAATTATGGCAAAAAAATTGTCATTTAAGAAAATTAAAAAAATAAAATTGCAATTTTTTAAAAATAATTTTTCGAAAGAATTTTTTTGTTAAATAAAATAAAAAAATTGTCAACTTTAATGTCATCAATCTTTTTATATAATTTTTTGCACTAATAATGATTATTGTTTTATTAAAAATATGATTTTGGAAGAAAGTATTAGTGATGTTTTATTGAATAGTGTGAACCATAAACTTTTACGGACACAAGACGTAAGTAATAAACGTTTAGTTGTTTATTAATTCATTTTCGTTAAACGTGATCAAAAGTAGCCAAAGTTTATATATATATATATATATATATATATATATATATATA